ATTCAACGGGTGCAATGTCGTGCATAATTTCTTTATAAAGATCATAAGGTATCGCACTAGCACCAGCACCCATATCACATAAGCCATGATAACAATGATCTCCTATTTTAACAGAAATAACAGGCATGCCTATGACAGGTCTACGTGTCTTAGTATCAGGTCTAGCAATATTAGCAGTCTCACCCAAGAAAGAAATAACATGCCCATCTAAGTCCTCATCCAAGAGATCTTTAACCATAGCAATACTAGGTTCAACATTAATTTGCTCAGGAGGTGTATAAGTCCTAGTATTACTCTCACGAACAACAGTCGAAGCTTTAGCATGATCCTTTATCCTAACAGGAAAAGGAGGTTTTTCAACATAAGCAGTAGGAACAATAGGATCACTATAGGTAATAGTCTTTTCTTCGACTGTAATAGGTGCAACTACTTTCACTTCAACAGGAGGGTTATATTTAAACCACTTCTCTTTAGGGAGATCAACGTGAGTAGCAAAAGATTCACAAAAAGTAGCTACTATCTCAGAGTCAAGTCCATACTTAGAGCTAAATCCACGAAAAGCATCGGTATCCATAAAAGATTTAACACAATCGAACTTAGGTGTCATACATGACTCCTTACCATCGTCGGAACCCCAATCTTCAGAGTTGCGTTTAATTCTTTCCAATAAGTCCCATTTGAAATCAATATTCTTCAGCATATAAGAACCAGCACAGGAAGTATCGAGCAGGTTGTGATTATCAAGAGAAAGCCGAGCATAAAAATTGTGAACAATCATTTCCCGAGAGAGCTCATGATTGGGGCATGAATATAACATTGACTTAAGCCTCCCCCAAGCTTGAGCGATGCTTTCTCCTTCGTGAGGCCAGAAATTATATATGTAATTATGATCACGATGAACAAGATGCATAGGATAGAACTTCTCATGAAATTCCAACTTCAATCGCTTATAATTCCAAGATCTCGTATCATCACATAGCCTATACCATGTCAATGCATCTACCTTCAAAGATAAAGGGAAGACCTTCCTTTTGACAACATCATCGGGAATACCTGCAAGCTTAAATAATCCACAAACTTCATCCACAAAGATAAGGTGTAAGTCGGGATGCAATGTTCCATCTCCTGCAAATGGATTAGCTAGCAGTTTCTCTATCATACCCGAAGGAATCTCAAAGTAAATATTTTCATAAAGTTCAGTAGGTTGAGGAGCAACTCTTTGCTCTTCTCGTTGGGGTGAAGATACCCCAAACAAGCCCTCAAAGGATTAGTTTCCATAGTGACAAGTAACAGAAAATTTCAGCACACTATATAAATGTTTCCTTACCAAGTTCCACTCACCAAAAGCGCTACACTCCCCGGCAACGGCGCCAGAAAAGAGTCTTGATGACCCACAAGTATAGGGGATCTATCATAGTCCTTTCGATAAGTAAGAGTGTCGAACCCAACGAGGAGCAGAAGGAAATGACAAGCGGTTTTCAGTAAGGTTTTCTCTGCAAGCACTGAAATTGTAGGTAATAGATAGTTTTGTGATAAGATAAATAGTAACGAGCAACAAGTAAATAAAGTAAATAAAGTGCAGCAAGGTGGCCCAATCCTTTATGTAGCAAAGGATAAGCCTGGACAATTTCTAATAATAATAAAGGAGCTTCCGAGGACACATTGGGAATTATCGTCAAGCTAGTTTTCATCACGTTCATATGATTCGCGTTTGGTACTTTGATAATTTGATATGTGGGTGGACCGGTACTTGGGTACTGCCCTAACTTGGACAAGCATCCCACTTATGATTAACCCCTATTGCAAGCATCGGCAACTACAAAAGAAGTATTAAGGTAAACCTAACCACAACATTAAACATATGGATCCATAACAGCCCCTAACGAAGCAACGCATAAACTAGGGTTTAAGCTTCTGTCACTCTAGCAACCCATCATCTACTTATTACTTCCCCATGCCTTCCTCTAGGCCCAAATAATGGTGAAGTGTCATGTAGTCGACATTCACATAACACCACTAGAGGAAAAGACAACATACATCTCATCAAAATATCGAACGAATACCAAATTCACATGACTACTAATAGCAAGACTTCACCCATGTCCTCAGGAACAAACGTAACTACTCACAAAGCATATTCATGTTCATAATCAAAGGAGTAATAATATGCATAAAGGATCTGAACATATGATTTTCCACCAAGTAAACCAATTAGCATCAACTACAAGGAGTAATCAACACTACTAGCAACCCACAGGTACCAATTTGTGGTTTTGATACAAGATTGGATACAAGAGATGAACTAGGGTTTTGAGAGGAGATGTTGCTGGTGAAGATGTTGATGGAGATTGACCCCTCCCGATGAGAGGATCGTTGCTGATGACGTTGGTGATGATTTCCCCCTCCCGGAGGGAAGTGTCCCCGGCAGAACAGCTCCGTTAGAGCCCTAGATTGATTCTGCCAAGGTTCTGTCTCATGGCGGCGGAGTTTCGTCCCGTAAGCTTGCCCCCGATTTTTTCCAGTGTAAAAGTGATGATGTAGCAGAAGATGGACGTCGGAGGCCCACCAGGGGGCCCAGGAGATAGAGGGCGTGCCCTATAGGGGGGGGGTGCCCCCCTGTCTCCTGGACAGGGTGTGGGCCCCCTGGCCTATTTCTTTTGCTCAGAAATTCTTATTAAATCCAAAAGGTTGTTTCGTGGAGTTTCAGGACTTTTGGAGCTGTGCAGAATAGGTTTCCAACGTTTGCTCCTTTTCCAGTCGGAATTCCAGCTGCCGGCATTCCCCCTCTTCATGGTAAACCTTGTAAAATAAGAGATAATAGCCATAAGTGTTGAGATATAATGTGTAATAACAGCCTATAATGCAATAAATATTGATATAAAAGCATGATGCAAAATGGACGTATCACCCGTCGATCATCTTCGGCTTCACACTGAAGGTCTTGAGCCATAAGCCGAAGTGTGGGGTGATGTGGAGGAAGGCCTCACACACGACGATAAATGACAAGATGTGAAGGATAGAATCTGGAGCTAGATCATGGAAATCTAGCCCTTAATAGAACATGAACCCTCTCACAAAGGGATCAAGACTAAAACCTAGCCCTCGGAGGAAATGGAAAACAAATACGACACTCTCGTTGGGTTTGGGAGTGGGGATGACCTGCCCTTGAGCAGGCAGCCTGTGTGGGATTTCGGCGGTGAGATACCTGGCCTCCCTAAGCTTCTTGATGTCCTTCTCTGTGAGAGAGGAGGCCATCCACCGGCCTTGAAGGTTGGATCCGGACATGGTTGAAGGTCCGAAGCGCTTAGCTTGAGCCTTGGGTGTTGGAACTCGAGGAGGGGGAAGGGAAGGATCGAGCGTGGGAAGAAAAGGACAGGTCTTGGGCCCTTTATAAAGGGGGTGAATATCAAGCGTCACCCGCGTGACCGTTTGGAACTTACCTAAAATCAGGGAGTCATATTAACAAGCACGGTTGGGTTACCCACACCCGTATTGAAGAGAATCCCGTGATAAGGGGAACACGATCTCTGCTTCGACAAGACGTGCCAATAAAACCGCTTCGTAACACGTGTAGTGGCAGGCTGGGAAAACGGTTCGTAATGACCGGGCCGTGGTGTGATGTCACGCTATAAAAGTTGTCAGCAGATTAGATTTGTAAAATATTGTGCTCTCTACGGTGGTATGTGGAAATTATTTTGCAGAGCCGGACACGATCCTCATATTCAAGATCTTCTATGGAGTATTCGGAGAAGGAACCCGCCTTGCAATGCCGAAGACAATCTGCGCGCCGGACTCATCGTCATTGAAGCCTGGTTCAGGGGTTACTGAGGGAGTCCGGGATTAAGGGGTCCTCGGACAGCCGGACTATATACTTTGGCTGGACTGTTGGACTATGAAGATACAAGATTGAAGACTTCGTCCCGTGTCCGGGTGGGACTCTCCTTTGTGTGGAAGGCAAGCTTGGCAATTCGGATATGTAGATCTCCTTCTCTGTAACCGACTCTGTGTAACCCTAGCCCCCTCCGGTGTCTATATAAACTGGAGGGGTTTAGTCCGTAGGACAACATACAATCGTAATCATAGGCTAGCTTCTAGGGTTTAGCCTCTATGATCTCGTGGTAGATCAACTCTTGTAATACTCATATCATCAAGATCAATCGAGCAGGAAGTAGGGTATTACATCCATCGAGAGGGCCCGAACCTGGGTAAACATCGTGTCCCCCGTCTCCTGTTACCATTAGCCTTAGACGCATAGTTCGGGACCCCCTACCCGAGATCAGCCGGTTTTGACACCGACACCCACTCCTAGAGAAAATCTTGCATGGGCTTAAAATTCATCTTATTTTACTTTGAGGATGAATCTTCTATGTGCCTCCACTATATCTCATCATTTCAAAGTACCCAGGGGCACCACTAAAAAACAATTATGTGTTTTAGCATCCTGGCATCTCATTATTTTCTTCTCCAATTCCTATGTTATCTAATTCTTGCCCGAGAAATACCTACTACTTCAATTTCTTTTCCATCTTGCATAATATGGTTAACCACCATGTTAACAAATCCACCACAGATAAAAACGGGAACAAAACAAACGTAAAGGAATCTTGGAATGCACAATTGACAATTCATCCTTACAACATTCGACCGATTGTTAGCAAAAGCCAACAACTTTAAGTTGGTAAACAGCTCAAGTGACCGACCTTTTGTATTGTAAGAGTCAGAGCAAAAATCAGTGAACAAATATAACCTATATTCAGCATAATCATATACACTGGATTGTTTTTATGTGCACATAGTAAGAAAACTATACAAATACAAATACAAATACAAATAACAAATTTGCTCAGATCTATTCTGTGCGCGAGACAGGAAAACGAAAAATGATGGGAGGGAAAGTACTATTCTAAATCATCATTCTGTAGTCACGATCGCACATCGTCCCGGTGTCTGAAATATTGTCAATTGTGGTTAAGTTGGAGTTGGACTATCAGGCGAAAAACTCAAGCAGGAGCCTCTGAAGTACTAGTATCATCAGCAGGAGCCTCTGAAGTACTAGTATCAGCAGCAGGAGCCTCTGAAGTACTAGTATCAGCAGCAGGAGTCTCTGAAGTACTAGTATCAGCAGCAGGAGCCTCTGAAGTACTAGTATCAGCAGTTGGCATGTTGGATGCTCTATCAGGGAGTGAATTCACCTCTTCTCCTTCTGATGGTGCCACTATCGAAGCGGAATCCTCTGAGGCGATATCGGAAGCAGCATCTGAAGCAGCATATGATGATTCTGACTGTTCGGATGTTTCAGGCTGCTGTGGCTTCTGCAGACTCCAGTACATGATGCTAGCAGTCAATGTTAGGATCATTTTCTGATTCACCTGTACGAGAATTAGTTTAACATCATAAGATAAAGATAATTATGTATTTGATCTTTAGCGATATATAGCATGTTGTTTATTTCATAGCAATGGCCCATTACATCAATGATGTCTTCTGGTAACAGAAAAACAGAGCACCCGAGCTTCCGTGCAACACTGATGATGTAGGTTGCATTTAACTTCTTCTCATCATCTGCAACAGTAAAAGGGTATGCGCGAATGAGGACGAAGGAATTGCAAAAGATATACGGGGCATGATTTCATTCGGTTCTCATGATGCGCCAAAAGAAAACACATAAAACTTTTTCTTTTCTTTTTTTGCGGGAGAGACCACATATAACTTAAGTTAAAAGGTCAGCAGGTAAAAGGAAAATCAATTCATTTGTGGACGAAGAACGCACCAATTACACCCTTCGATACAACCTTCCAGTTCACAACCCTTGGCTCTACAGCACTGAGAAGCTCAAGGAAAAAAATTCCACTCGATAAGTTCTTGTCCTGAAGCAAAGAGAGAATTATGAGGGTTTGCTGGACAGATATGACAACTGAAAAGGCAGGAGCAGAGCTTTCATTGTTTAGGCAGGGGCAGAACATAGACACAAAATATCTTTGTCAAATATTTTATTACACTTATTGGTCCCCTGTTAATTTTTCTGCAAGCTCAACTGCTGCTGAAAGGCAATGTGCAATCATAAAAGATCACCTTAAAACTTTCCATTCGAGAATTTCTCCCGGAAACCTTCACTTTGTTATTCGCCCAACTCAAGATATCAGCATCGGTTATTTCTTTTCCTTGGGATCCTTGAGAGTGGAATCTCAGTTTGTTTAACAGCTGGAGGATATTGAATCTCATCAATTGCCATAGAAGTGCTGAAATAAGACGTGAGATGATACTTAATATGGCAACTCCATCTAGAACAGAAAATAGAAGAAGGGAGGATGGATCATTATCAATGTCCATCTGCTACTTTTTATGACAGTTAAACAGTCATCTACCACGATGCACATTTTGGTAAAATTAACTCACCAACAATCAACTTCTTGTTTCCCTGAACAATATCATTTCCAGCTAGATTCACCATGGAAAACTTCAGATCCTTTCCAATATTTATAACTTGATTACAGTTCTCCAGTTTTCGAAATGGCATTTTTATTGGAGGTTTTGTCGCTAGCTTCCAGTTGACAGAGCCCGGATAGACTTTGTCGAGCACTTCTAGTAGAACCCACCTGCGTAGACATTTACATCACTCCTCTGTTCCCGAGAAACATGACCTGCCTCCGTTGAAAGCTTACCCAGTTCGAACATCTTCAAACACATTGTTCACGTATGTCGCAATTCCAAGGCTGTTGATCCACATTCGGAAGGCTCTCTCTTCTCGGCACAATATAACCTCATCTCGCGATGATGTTTGTGTGAGTGTAACCTGTCTGGTGTCAGTACTCAAACCGTTTCTGCATGTAAAAAATCATTCTACTTTGGTGAACATGAAATGGCATCACAGAACTACTAAGGATATGAGAACGCGTTCAGTATGCAGACCATAATAAAAAGACAGGCTTGATAACTAAGGTTCCTACAAAGAGTAGACAAGTAATTCTCACCTATGTTGGAATATTTGTGCAACAAATGCAAGGTTCAGATTTGGGGAGCCCTCAGTAATATCCTTTGGGCTCAAGTATCTTTTGCAGCCCAACTTCTCTGCTTGGTCAAGTACCACTTTCGCTCTTACGGCAGGATCCTTGGTGTCAAATGCAAGTATAGAGGAATGCTCTGGAGCAAGAGCTTTGATAAGATAGGCGTAGGCTTCAGCATCCTGTACAAGCCTACCTTGTAAGATAATTGATTGTTGTGCATCTAATAATAGAGTAATGGAGCAGTAAATGAAGATATGTTTTTGTTGGCACCACACATAAAAAATACGTTTCTATCATGCATGAGGTATTACTGAATTTGTACAAGGAATCTAGAAGGATTGCACCATTTGCATATTACAGATTGCAGCAGACAAAGTATTCAGACTTTGCTTCCCCAAAATAGTGTTTAATGACGCGTAAAAAATAGTGTTTAATGCATGCAACACTAATCCGTTGAAAGGAAGAGGACCAAACATGCAGTTACACATAAATTCTGGAAGAGACAAGCCTATTTGTTGCGTGAACCTTGATATCTGAGGAGAAGTTGGTAACAATTTTCTTATAGCCAGCTTTCTTGAGATGATAATTCATCCACTGAAGTAGTAACTTTTCAGGTGATAAGCTCAGCACTTCATCTATATCCTGTAAAATAATAAGTAAAATAAAATGTTATATGTCCAACACAAATATATTATGTCAATAAACGACATTACATAATGAAAAGAGTAATACCTTGCTGTCATCAAAAATTTCCACCAGCTGTGGCGTCCTCTTAAGATTTAGATCAGCCAAAAGTTGTATCTACTTACATGAAAATATATATTAAATAGTGTAATAGGACAGTTATACACATCTTTATGTAGTCTGTCTGCATCATAGTAGCATACATTGGGGATTTTAGGATTCACCTTTATAATTTGAGATATCAACCCAAGAACTAGATGAGCCTGCAATATTAAGCATAGGGTTAGTCATTACTGCCCTTCTTTTAATTAGTGTACTATTTTGCACTGAAAATGATATTGATGATTAAACATAAGGGGGATGCAGGTATCTATAACGTATATGTACATTATGGTTAAATAACTAAGGACATTACAAAATGAATTCCTGGAGATGTCCATCGGGAAAAAAAAAGAATTCCTGGAGATGTATTCGGCACCACCTTAAACTTTTGGAGACACGAGAAGAAAAAGAACACGTGGAGCACAACTAACAGCAGTGTGAACAAGAAAAATAACTGTGAGACGAATGTAAGATTTTCATGGTAACCGAGCATAAAGCAGTTTGAGATGAGGTAACAACGTCGGTAAAATCATATCCATATCCACACATACCACAAAAGGAAAATACTGATATCAATTAAATCTGGTTACCATATCAATAGTTAGAATAAAAATGTACTGCCACAGGTGGTAAGAGATGAATGCATACCCTTCCTTCCACCAAGTCTTGAGCGCCAAGATTCACAACAGTACATCCAATAGCCTTTGCAGAGTTGAGGCAAAGCGTATGGTTCTCATTTCTCTCCCATGGGTTAAGGATCCTTTTTTTGTTGATGGCTCTCTCATCAATAGTCCCAGGCACCGCTACATTGATCAATTTACTGACCGTTTTATCCAGTGACCAAATAAATAAGCAAGCATTAGACAGGACTGTCAAAATAACAGTGCATCATTTATATGTTGCCATAGCTGTAAAAACCAACACAATGCAGGTGGAAACACAGCATCAGCATCTCACCAGAGCACGACCCCGTCTCTGACGAGGTCGAACAAATCATTGCCCGCGGGGTCGATCGGCAGATACTTCTTCAGGAAAGGATCGTTGCCGAGGTACGCATTGATGTGCGCGACGTAGGACGACTTCTCTGCCTGGTTGGGGCTGTGGTGGATCAGCGTGGTGGTGCTCGACTTGAGGAACGACCACGAGTTCTTGCTCCCGCTCGCACCCGCCTTGGAGCTCACCCTCTCCTGCAGGTTCAGGTACTCCTGCAGCACAACGTATCAAGCATGTAACCCACGGTATCGAAATCAAGTGCCCCTAAGTTACCACTTGAAAGAACTAATGACATGATTGTCCCCTCCATCGATGTACCCGGAGGAATTGCTCGAACTCAATCTCCTGGTCGCTGTCGGGGCAAACCTCCGACAAGAAGGCAGCAATCTCCTCCTCGGAGACAACCTCGTTGAGCCCCTTCAGCTTCTTCATCAAGCCCGGCAGGTTCTTGGTGGTGACATGGCCGGACTCCCTCTTCAGAGTCACAAACTGCAATCACACCACACGACAGGATTGCATTTCGGAATTCCGAGTGGAACCGCAATGGGCACAGCGAAACGCGATTGGGAATAAAATGCAGCGGATTCGGGCGTGACCTTGGCCTTGAGCGATCGGAGCTCGACCTGCGTGAAGTGGCCCTGCAAGGAGGGGTCGGAGACGACGACCCCCACGAACCCGGACATCTATCTATCTGTCTCCGGCGGGGAGCCCAATTCTTGGGAGCGCCCTAGCGAACGCCGCTGCGGGACGCGCGGGCCTCAGATCAAAAGAGGAAATGCGGGGATCGATCGTCTCGTTCGCGCGCGCATTGGGGGATCGAATTGACGAGGGAGGGATCGCCGGACGAGCGCGTAATCGATCGATGGGAGGGTGCGGGGTGGTGGCGGTGGCGCCTTTGGCACGGTCGAATTGGTGGGAGATGTTCTTGCATGCTTTGCGCCAAATCTTTTTCTGTTTAGCTTACGACATTGGGGAGTGGCTTTTGTTGCGTTCCGGATTTTGTGGGGGCCGGGGACGGGAGACGGTAGGGGCAAGGATGAATTTCTACTTCGTTTTTTTAATACTTTTTTTATCAATTCTTTGAATATTTTGGGAAATCTCATGTGTAGAGCTTTTTAGAAAGTTGTTACTCTTTTTTTTGTGAAACATGATTTGACATATTATAAAAGTTCAAAGGATGTACAAAACATCTCAAACATCATAAAAACTGTTTTTGAGGTAACCTCGTCAAGATGGTGTTCCAGCAATTTATGTAGATCGAAAAAACTGGAAGAAAAAAATACAGAGTAATCTGGTTTATAAGGAAAATTATGTCAAAAACCACACATAAAAAAATTACAACAACCATAACACCAATGTGGAAGCATCTCACCATCACCAAACACGAAGTGACTGAAAACGGGGCATTCTGAAACATCTTCGAGAAAGAAAACAATGTCCGTGGGCACCGACGCCGTCAACATCGACCCCCATCGACCAAAAGCTTCAACCCACACCTGCAAACAACTGCGCCACCGAAACTTGGTAAAAGATCCAGCCAAACCAACAACCACTATTGCCGATCCCACATGACCTAATGTTTGAGAAAGTACTCTTCGATAATGCATCCATGGAGGAGAAAGATGCCCTTGAGCGTCATCATCATCGACAATGACCCTCGTTGAATCAAATCTTTCGCTCAGAGCCTTGTTCCGCGCCACCTCCACAAGCCCCGGGTAGGGGGGCACTAGGCCACAACTCCATTTGTATTCATCAATGGCGAACTGCACCAACTGAAGCAGATGGACATCACGACCACACATCACCGTTGAGGACTGCTTGAGTAGATACTAGCACCACTGACTACCTCAATGTATGAAATATGCCCTAGAGGCAATAATAAATATATTATTATATTTCCATGTTCATAATTCAGTTTATATTTTTGTGGGACGCTGCTTCGGTGACTTAAGGAACCTGCCTTTGGGTCTATGGCAGGTGGGCCTAACAGGTGGTTGGCCCACCTATCATAGACCCAAAGGTAGGTGCCTTTAAGGCACCAAAGCTCAATCCATTTTTGTGCTATAGTTGCATTGGTTCTTGAGTATGAGATTTGAAGGAAAACTCAATTGCATGTGTGAAACCATAAACAAGAGTAGACAAGCAACCAGAAAGAAATATACATCTATAGATCAAACACGATGGCATGCATATAAATGAAGATAAACAAATAATTCACCACATGATCAACAACGTTGCTACAAATACATCAGATTAACCATAATCATGTAGGGCAGCTCATATGACTATTGTATTGAACATCTAAACACGTCAAGATGGAGAGATTACAACTTTGACTACTACCTGAACCCGTAGTCAAAGTTGATCGAGGTTGGTGATGATGAAGATGGCTCCCCATTCGACAGAGTTCCGTTCAGAGCTGAAAACAAAAATCGCCTCGAAAATGTGATTGGACGTCGGAGGAAAAATGCTTGATAATTAGAGTAGAGGTTTCGCTGGATATATATAGGTCATCGGGCACCGGATGCCACCTGAGGGGGTGCCCACATGCCACAGGCGCCCCTATAAGGTGTGAACCGACACCCTATGAGCCCCACCAGGTGTAGGGTCTGCGTCACTGGTCCTCTCCTGGCATGAAACTTTCATAACCTTCTTTTTGTTTTTTCCACATACCTTTTATGTGGTGTTTTTCTGAAATACTAAAAACATCAAAAAGGAATTAACACTGGTCACGAGATTAATATGTTAGTCCAATAGAAAACAATAACCCAAAGTGTATGTAATTGATACAATGTAGCATGAACCATACAAAAATTATAGACACATTGAAGACGTCAAATGGCTTTGAACCGAATTTCCAGCGAAGTACCGCCATAGGTTTGTTGGAAGTTTTGCCTCAGATTACAAAGTGCTGGTGGTGAAAAATTGCATGATATATAGCCAGGGGCACACCCCATGCATGTGTGCCATGCGTCCCCCTGGTCCACCCTTTGGCATGCTTCATCCTCCAGTGAAATATTGACGCCTGATTTTTGTTTCTTACATTTTTAGAGTCCGGGAAGGTTCATATACCCACACTCGTTAAAACATGGAAAGTGCCTTCTCGATAATAATTATTAGGTTAGTCTAAAATATAAAATAATGCAAAAATGACATGAAATAAGCCTGATATCCCACTAAAATATTCAATGGCTTGTCGGAGATAACATGTAATCAACCACCTCGGTGAGCATCGTAGCTCCTTCGTAAGAGCCATTGATGGTCAACCATGTGCCTATTTGCAGCTACCAAATCTCCACCTCTCCTCTACCGCCATCATGTTCCTTCATAAAGTAGGGGGACCAAAGATCCTCCAAAACAAGAACTGTACAAAGCTTGTTTGACGAATTGTCGATGATGCTCTTGCGACTACCTCTAGCTTCAAGCTAGCACAAACTAGGAATATGATCGTCGCTAGCCACCAGTCATTTCTTGGACATGGTGGTGGCCCGCTCCACCCCGACATAGCGCCAAACACCTATAAGGAAAGACTTGACCTCAACCTAGCATGCACATCACTTCTCTGTGTGCTTCTCTTCTCACATGTCTCTACTCTGTCCGACCTCATTGCCAGAGAATGTCGGCTCTTCGCCACCTAAAGTTGTAGGTGGTTCCAAGGGTTGGTGAAAGATCGTGGATGTCGCCTAGAGGGGGTGAATAGGTGCTTTAAAATAATTATGGTTTTGGCTTGAACAAATGCGGAATAAACCTAGCGATTAATCTGTCAAGCACAAAACCTACAACAACTAGGCTCACCTATGTGCACCAACAACTTATGCTAAGCAAGATAAACAACTAAGTGATAGCAAGATATATGACAAGAAACAATATGGCTATCACAAAGTAAAGTGTATAAGTAAAGGGCTCGGGTAAGAGATAACCGATGCACGTGGAGACGATGATGTATCCCGAAGTTCACACCCTTGCGGATGCTAATCTCTATTTGGAGCCGCGGTGTGGAGGCACAATGCTCCCCAAGAAGACACTAGGGCCACCGTAATATCCTCACGCCCTCGCACAATGCAAGATGTCGTGATTCCACTAAGGGACCCTTGAGGGAAGTCACCGAACCTGTACAAATGGCAACCCTTGGGAGCAGTCACCAAACCCGTACACTTTGGCAACCCTTGGGGGCGGTCACCGGTACCCGTCAAATTGCTCGGGGCGATCTCCACAACCTAATTGGAGATCCCGACGCTTGCCCGGAGCTTTACACCATAATGATTGAGCTCCGAACACCACCAACCGTCTAGGGCGCCCAAGCACCCAAGAGTAATAAGCTTCTCAATTTGTAACTTCCACGTATCACTGTGGATAACTCAAACCGATGCACCAAATGCAATGGCAAGGGCACACGGAGTGCCCAAATCCTTCTCTCCCAAATCCCACCAAAGCAACTAATGCTAGGGAGGAAAATGGGAGGAAGAACAAGAAGGAGAACCCCAAGAACTCCAAGATCTAGATCCAAGGGGTGCCCCTCACATAGAGGAGAAAGTGATTGGTGGAAATGTGGATCTAGACCTCCTCTCTCTTTTCCCTCGAAAACTAGCAAGAATCCATGGAGGGATTGAGAGTTAGCAAGCCTGAAGAAGGTCAACAATGGGGGAAGAACACGAACTCAAAGGATAAGCCTCAATGGGGAAGAAGACCCACTTTTATAGGAGGGGGAAAATCCAACCGTTATCGTCACAGTACGCACCGAGCGGTACTACCGCTCCAAGGAGCGATACTACCGCTAGGGTGGCAGTAGCCAAAATAAACACTACTGCAACGGGGCAACAAGGCGTACTACTGCCGGGGCGGTACTACCGCCTGAAAGGATCGATATAGTTGACTAGAGGGGTGGGGGTGAATAGGCAACTAACAATTTTTAACTTTTCTTTACCAAATTAAACTTTGCATCAAAGTAGGTTGTCTAGATATGCAACTAGGTGAACAACCTATATGATGCAACAACAACAACAAAAAGCACACAAGAAAGCAAGGGATATAACATAAGTAAGCTTGCAAAAGTAAAGGCATGAGATAACCAAGAGTTGAGCCAGTGAAGACGAGGATGTGTTACAGAAGTTCCTTCCTTTTGAGGGGAAGTACGTCTCCGTTAGAGCGGTGTGGAGGCACAATGCTCCCCAAGAAGCCACTAGGGCCACCATATTCTCCTCACGCCCTCACACAATGCGAAATGCCGTGATTCCACTATTGGTACCCTTGAAGGCGACGACCGAACCTTTACAAACAAGGTTGAGGCAATCTCCACAACTTAATTAGAGGCTCCCAATGACACCACGAAGCTTCACCACAATGGACTATGGCTCCGAGGTGACCTCAACCGTCTAGGGTGCTCAAACACCCAAGAGTAACAAGATCCGCTAGGGATTAGTGGGGGGAATCAAATTTCTCTTGGTGGAAGTGTAGATCGGGGCCTTCTCAACCAATCCCGAGCAAATCAACAAGTTTGATTGGCTAGGGAGAGAGATCGGGCGAAAATGGAGCTTGGAGCAACAATGGAGCTTAGGGATGGAAGAGGTAGTCAACTAGAGGAAGAAGACACCCCTTATATAGTGGAGAGACAAATCCAATCCTTATCCACTTACTCAGCCCACGACCTGCGGTACTACCGCTCCAGACAAGCGGTACTACCGCA